AGTTTACCCTCTAAGACTTTATTAACTAAATAAAATTATACTTTAGCTATAAGGTAAAGAAGATATAGTTTAATAAAAAGCTATTTATAAAGGATATCTTAAATTAGCTTTAAAAAAGGGGTATTTTACCCCTCTTATTAGCACTAAATACCTAAGCCTAGAACGGAGGGGTAGAAAGATTAGGGGGTGCTATAATAAAAAGGGCCTATATAATAAGACTTACTATAAAGCTTCCCTATAACCTTTAAAGGGAAGTCGTTAAGACCGCTTATTACCTTTAGAACTAGACCCTAAGGGACCCTAGGGGCCTAAGGGACTATAGGGACTAAAAGACCCTTTTTAAGACTTAAGGAATATACTAGAAATCTCCCCTTAAGCTCTTTATAAAGAAGAGGGCCTCGTTAGCTTACCTTTATACCTATAAATATAAGGTATATACTATAACTACCGATATATAGCTAAAAAGGAAGAAGAAAAGAAAGCTTAATCCTAGAGCCTTTATTAGTTACCTCGTTAGCTATAATTCTATAAATATCTTCTAGATCTAGATTCCTCTTTTATAAAAGGTTATTTCGACTAAGGATATAATTTTCGATAAATCTAGCTTCCTTAATAGAAAGAAGGATTAATAGCCCTTCTTACTCTTATAACGTTAGCTAATTTATAAGATCTAAATTCCCCTTTCTTAATAGTTTTAAGAAGAGGTCTTAGATAAGGAAATAAAAGAAGAAACTAATATTAAAATAGTTAAGGATAACGCCGACTTTAAAGAAGAGAAAGCTACTAGATTAAATAATCTAAACGAAGAAAGAGACTATAGGAAAGTAGTAGAGCTAAAATACGCCTACGTCCCTATACCTCCTCCTAAGTAAGAAGAAGATCTAGAAGCAGCTTTTTTAGTTAGTCTTCCTATCTCGACCCCTAAGGGGGTAGGAAAGGCACCTCTCTTAAAGGATTACTTAGCTGCCTTTTTATCCTTGCTTTAAGAAGTAAAGGAAGGTATAGGGCCTAATATAAAAGAAGACTAACCTCTCCCTTATTTTAATTGTTTTTCCGACTTTTATCTAACGCCTATAAAAGACAGTTCCTATAAAGTATTTATAGTAGGCCGACTCTTTAAGCTATAGCTATTAGTAAGGAAGGTATATAAAATAGACCTCTTAGACCTACTAGTAAACTAAAAGTAGCTAGAAAAACACCTATTTAAAAACTAGTTTTTCTAGGCCTAGAAAGACTACCTAGCTTTATACGAAGAGATAGGGTCTTTTAAAGAGGTCCTTAAGGAAAAAGTAAGAGGAAAATAGGTCCTTAGCTATATATAGGTCTTTATCTATAAGACTAATAAATATAGCTTCCTTTAAAAGTATAAGGCCTAGCTAGTTATCTATAGGAATTAGTAGGAAAAAGGGGATTTACTTACTAAGGCAACTACCTTAATAGGGATATCTTTTCGGACCCTTATAGTAATAGTAGTAGAATTTAACCTCGAACTTAACTAGATAGATATAGTAAACGCCTTTATTAACTGCCCCCTTAAGGAAGAAGAAGTTATCTATATACGCTTTCTACTAAGCTTTTAATAGCTAGGAAAGGTTCTATAGCTTAGGAAAGCTTTATACGGACTATAAAGATTACCCCTTCTTTAGTAATAGTATTTAATAGGTTCCCTTAAAGCCCTAGGCTTTATAAAAGTCCCTTAGGAACCGTGTATAATATAGAAGGGTAAAATTATAGTCTTCTTCTACGTCGATAATATTATCTAGGCCTACCTAAAAGAGGAAGAAGTAAATACTAGGGAGGCTATATAAAGCCTATAATAAAAGTATAAGATAACTAAGCTAGGGGAGCTAAAGTAGTTCCTAGGGATACGAATCCTTTAGAATAAGTCTTAATAGACTATCTAGCTTACCTAGGACGCCTATATTAATAAGGTCGCTTATAAATTCCTCCTTAATTCCCTTAATAAGAAGCTTCCCTCTACGCTTATATTAAACGAAGAACTTTTGCCTAATCCGTTCTTTTAAGCTAAGGAGTAAGAGAAACACTAATATTAATAGATAGTAGGCTCCTTAATTTTTTTTTAGCTATTTTTACTAGACTAGATATCTCTTTTATAGTCTCCTAGCTAGCTAAGTATAACTAAAATCCTAGCCCTAAGCACTAAGAAGTAGTAGGCCGAGCTATCCTTTATTTCTATTTAACGAGATTATATAGTCTACGCCTAAGAGGGTAGGGAAGGAAACTAGCTGCCGAAATCTTCCTTTATTTAAGTGATTTATCCTTTATAGATAATTCCTTAAATAGAAAGAGCTTATAAGGGTATATTATATCCCTTTTTAGAGGAACTATAACTTAGAAAGCTTTAAAGTAAGCTACTATTACGACTTTTAGTATAGAGGCAGAGCTACTAGCTCTTTTAAAAGCTTTAAAAGAAGCTATTTTCCTTAGCCGGCTACTAATATCTTTACGACTATAAATTCTAACCCTATTAGCTATAGAATATAATAATATATAGACTATATAGATTCTTATATAGGAATATAGTAAGCTATCGACCTAGCTATAGTATATTAATATCTACTAGTATTAGTTACGCTAGGAGGTTTAAAAGGGACTTATTTCTATCTATTAAGTTTTAATAGTATCGATAAAAGTAAACGGTCTTATAAAGCCCTTACTAATATAGAAGCTAGCTATCTTTTTATAGTAAATTAAGCTAGAAAGCGTCTATAAGAAGCTATCCTTAAAGGCCCGCCTTAAAAGTCTATAAGAGGAGCTAATAGCCTATACTATAAGAGTCTAGGCGTTGCCTAGACAGTTAATAAGTGTGGTTAATTGACAAGCTAGGCAGCTTAGTCAATTCGTTACCTTTTATCGCGTGCGTGCAACACGCCGTACGTGGCAGAGGGGGGTAGTGGCGCGACCACAGCCTGTGCCCTCTTGGGTCTACTCCATGACATGTTGACTAAGCTACCTACTGGTCGTAGGTTCGAGTCCCCGTGCGTGAGGCCAGACAGGCGCGCATGCATACGGGCGCCGCAGCCTAGAGGCGTGTGCATGGCGCAGGCAGCGGGGGATCTCAACCTAGGCTAACAGGTGGTGCGGCACCTAGGGGTAATGGCCTATCAACGAAGGGAGTGACGGAAGAGAGCGCGGGAAGAAACCATGTATAAGAGTCTAGGCGTTGCCTAGACAGTTGATAAGTGTGGTCAATTGACAAGCTAGGCAGCTTAGTCAATTCGTTACCTTTTGTCGCGTGCGTGCAACACGCCGTACGTGGGCAGAGGGGGGTAGTGGCGCGACCATAGCCTATGCCCTCTTAGGTCTACTCCATGACATATATAAGAAGGTAATATCTATAGCTAAAGAAGAAGGAAGAGGTTATCCCTTTAGAGGGCCCCTTATTTTAATTAGGTTTCTCTCTTTAAAAAAGGCCCTCTTTCTTATAGGACTTTTCCCTCCTTAGGCCCTTATTCCTTAAGTAGGTCTAAAAGAGCCTAGGGACCTAAAAAGGCCCCTACTTTCCTTAAGTAAAGGGATAAGTATAGAGCTAAGAACCTCCTCTATACGCTTACTAGCTTAAAGCCGTATTAGCTATACCCTTACTATAAGGGCAGGCTATAGCTAAGGGGGTATATCGCGAAGCATAGCTTAATTTCGTAGTTCTTAGAGATATCTCTTAGTAAGAGGGACTAAGGAAGCTAAAAAATAGTTTTAAGGAAGGAGCTAAAAGGAGGTATAGAGAGAAGGGTAGGGGTAAGAGGGGAAGCAAAAGTAGCGATAGCTTCCTATAGAGGTAGCGAGAAATAAGACGGATAAGCCGGCAACGGCTAGAATAGAGGGGAAAACCTAGTAAAAAGCTTAGTAGTTAAGAGGATATTAGTAGCTTCTTTAAGTAGGATCTTCTTTATTAATCGAGATACTAGACGGGTATAAAGAGGGGCGTTAGATAGAAGAAAGAAGGAGAATTAAGGCAATATAATAATTATTCCCCTACTATAGTTGCTACCCCCGTAAGAATTATATATCTCTGCCCTGCCTATCTTACCTCTTACTTCTACTTTTACCTTCGTGCATTTTATATATACTTCTTATATCTCTCTTCGCGAGAATAGTAGGCAGGGTATACTTAGGTCGGCGGTAGTATAAATAAATTATATTAGCCCTTATAGGCGCGCTAAAGGGCATATAGATTAAGCTTAGTAGGCCTTTTTTTATAAGGTCTTAACTACTAAACGGTTGTCCTTATAAGTAGAACTAATCGTCTTATACGTATCTCTAATCGCACTTACGCCCTATTTTTTAAGATACGTACTAGCGCCAGCCCGCCCCGCCTACTTATACCGCGCGAGGCTGGCAAGTATCCGTATCGCCTAAATGCCCGCACCCGCGCTTGCGCCCGCCCGCATATATCACAACGTACTTTTAGCTATATTACGCATGCCTCTTAATTCGCTTAAATAACGTATTTCCGAGCGTTAAGCTCGAAGTTATAATAATCGGCCCGTTAATTAATCCGGCTCCTCCTCTAGCCCTTACGGCTATATAGGCGGCAGCGTAGCGAGAGCTTTAAAGGTTATGTGTATATATATATGTGTGTGTGTGTCGGCGAGTGTCTTGCGTTATATGGCTAAAAGTGCGTTGTGATATGTGCGGGCGGGCGCAAGCGCGGTTGCGGCGGGCATTTAGGCGGTACGGAAACTTGCCAGCCTCGCGTGGTACAAGTAGGCGGGCGGGCTGGCGTTAGTATGTATCTTAAAAATGGGGCGTAAGTGCGATTAGAGATACGTATAAGTGCGATTAGTTCTACTCAGCCACATTGACCCACCTTTTGGTAGGCTGAATAGTCAGAGTGGTAGGCGCGTTAGTCAGGCCCTACCAAGAAGCTTCATCGACAGAGCCAAACCAAGAGCCAAACACATGCTTGTATACAGCAGCACCTGATGGCCTACGTTGGACCGTCTCCTCGCCGTGAGAGCATCCGGAGAGGCAAATCTACAATGGCGGACAATTGGACATATCTCATCACCGGTTCCAACAGAGGTAAGAATAGACGGACTTGCGTGCCGTCGCATATTATCTCGCGACCCTGCCTCGGGATCACTCGCGCCATGCCCATGCAAACTCCGGGAATGAGCGAAGCTCAAGTCGAGCAGGCATCGGCAAGCAGATGGTGGCAGATCTGCTCATCAGACCTGCCACAACGGTCGTCGCCACGGTGCGCAACCCGAGCGCAAGCACATCGCAGTCGCTCAAAGCCCTGCCAACGGCCGCCGGGAGCAGGCTTGCCATCCTGGCCGTCGACGAAGACACCCCAGAGATTGGGTACAGTTCGATACCGAAGCGCGCCGCCGAGGCCGGCATCGATCGCGTCGACGTCGCCGTTGCCAACGCCGGGGCATCGGGCAGCTTCGACTGGGTGCTGGAGACGGATCCCGAGGAGGTGCGGCGCTGCTTTGAGGTCAATAGCATCGGCCCGTTCAAGCTGTTCCAGGCCTGCTGGCCGCTTCTCGACAGGAGCGACCCTGCTCTTGGCCCGGGCGGAAAAAAGTTTGTCCTCGTGACGAGCTTCGTCGGCAGCATCGCGGGATTGGAGGCCGAGAGCTTCCCGTCTGCGGCGTACGGAATGAGCAAGGCGGGCGCCAACTGGATGGCGAAAAAGATGAGCGTCGAATTCAAGGACAGGGGGCTCAAGGTCGGCATAATTCATCCCGGGTAAGTTGGTCGTCGGCTAGAGGGAGGATGGTTGCCACGGGCACTGATGGGTTGCTCATGTTCGTCGCTCGCTGACAATTGAGCGGAGTAGATGGGTGAGGACGGACATGGGGCAGTCTCTTGCGGATGCCGTGGGGTTGGAGCAGCCGCCGATGACGATAGAAGACAGCAGTCGCCTTGTTCTGGAGCAGGTACGCGTCGCTGATCAGCATTCACACCGAGCGACTTGATCATGGCTTTTTGCCCATGGTGTCTTTTGGGTCGGACTGCAATTGGATGCCGAGTGGTATACACTGACCAGCCGCAGATTGACAAGCTCTCCTTTGACACGACCCATGGGAAATTCATCAATTTTGACGGCCAGGAGCTGCCCTGGTAGCTTGAGATTTGTTTTCGCCAGTCTTTGGACGCGTCTGATAATTACACGTTGGACTGTGTGCTTTGACAGGGTACAGTATCCGTACATTGGACCCAAGGACCGACGGACGCCTACCGTGGAGCTGTGACTAGTCAGGAGGAGCAAGCATCTAAGGCTAGTGATTGCCCAATGGATTGCAGCGGTCGTCGTACGTACTCCCTAGTGCAAGGACGCATGAGCAGGGGGCAGACAAACTCGGTCAAGCACCCACTGTCGGTCTACTATAGGAGACTTCTACGCGTGCCAAGAGACGGAGAGAGGGAAAAGGAAAGAAATTGTTAGGAGAGAATGTGCCGGGCAAGGTGGAGTCGAGTCGATGCGAAACGTGGCAGATTTGATTGGGGGTGCCGGGTACTGAACAATTGCAATAAAGGACAGGGACATCCCGCACATGGGTACGGAGTATGTATTTGAATATGAGACAGGTGCTGGAAAAGAGTGGAATTGCTGAATGGAACAGGCAGACTTCTAGTGTTACACGGTGAGACGGCTAGCAGAAGCGTCGGTCCGTGTTGTGTGCCGTTGGTGTGGCCTCGGGTTGCACGTCACTTTGTGCGAAGACGGCGGGGGGAAGGAGGGGAGGGGGGGGGGGTAAGGAGTGAAAGGGTGCGGAACAGTAGCCATGGCTTATCGGACAACATTAGTTGCTATTGACTCATAATGCTCCAGCTCACATGGTGCAGCTGCGTGGCATGAAGAAGACGAGCATTTGCGGTTGGCGGTAAGTAAAGGCCGGCAAAGGATAAGAGTAGATGGAGGATCTGCAGACCACATTACATGTAACCTCCCCCTATCGGGCCCCGGGAATACGAGGCCCATGCACGGCACATCTCGAAGGCAGGTCGGGTCGTATCGAAAACGACGGGTGACACGAGCCGTGCCTTATCATCTGAGCTCGACAAGAGCAGTCATGTTATGTTATGCACAAATCACGCACCAAACCCACGTTGCGGGAAGGGACCCGAGGGACGGAATCAACAACTTGACAGAACGGGCCGGTCAAGCTCGGCCTGACAGCACCGACAGGACGTGGCGGGCCCCCTTTTTGCAGGTGGAGCAATGTGAGGGGTGTCTGTCGTCTCGGGTCCGCCGACACGGAGGAGAGGGTGGAGAGGGAAGGCTGTCGGGGGCTCCGGCCGGAATGTCGGGGCCAAAATGTATGAGCCTCTTAGTCACCCGAGATGGCCTGACCCGGTACCTCTCTGTATTACCTAGGTTCTTAGATACATTCCTGCCTTCTGTCACGACGCAATGTAGCGCTACAAAGGCGGGGTTACTAAGACGGCCATGCCCTGAGTTGTGCATCCCTGGCTTGTGCCAGTGTTGTTTATGAAAAAAAAAGTGACGACGTCGAGGTTGCCGGGCCTACGGGCGTGTCAAGCCACGGGCCAATGGGGTTAGAGGCTTTGTACTGTACATGCTGCCAGTCGGCCAAAGAAGTGCTCTAGCTGGTACAAACGGCAGCTGGTAGCCCCAACGCGTGTGGGTACCTTGGTGAGTTAGTTGTAGGACCGTACTCCGTGCTCCGTACCCCGTAAACGAGTTCCTTTCAAGGAAGCTGAAGCTTTCCGCTCGGTCTCTCTGAGCCCCTTGCTTGCGGCACCCTGTTCCTGTCACAGCCCAACGTGGGCCACAGACCAATGTGTAGGAATGGAGGTTGGGCTCACGCCCACACGGACCGACAGGCGCGCCCCCTTAGCTCCGGAAGCGGCGTAGAGACCCTCGACAAATCCGGAGGCACCAAATGCGGCAGTCAACCTATGGGACGCCAAGGAGGTCACCAGATAGATCTAGGTAGCCGTAAGCAGCCGGATTAATAGGGAACCCTATTCCCCGCCGCACTTCGTGTATATATATAAAGTCACCCCCACGGTCTGCCCTTTTCGGGAAGGACAGCGCAATCTACACCCTCTTTTCTCAATGCAAAGACCCAATATTAACTAGTGATCGTTCCATCCACGGCTACTCCCTCCCCTCCCCAGAGTCCACCGGCCGGAAGATCTTGACTCATGGCGCGGTGAGAGAGGCGATATGTATAAATATAGGGCCCATGCCATAGTCCGCCATGGATACCGTACGGCGGAAGAAAGAGGCAGACTTGTGAAAGAATTGGCCATTGAATTCCCTGTCTACTTCAAGCATGCAATGAACAATTGTTGGAGTACCCTGCCTACCGAGTCTTCGTACCCGTTTTGGAGCGTCACGGGAGAGCCACAGCCCGGCGCGTGCGACACCCAAGCCGCGTAATCCGTCGTATTCTAGGGGGCACCAGCGGGCATTAGCAGTTGTCGCCAGGTGTCTTGGGAAATACTTGCTGTGTCCGCCCGTGCACGAGCAGGCCAAGGTACCACCCAGGTACTAGAGGTGAGGCTGGACGTTGCAGGCGTGCTGAGTGGCTCCTCTCCTTGTTAGTGGCTAAGGTAGGTAGATACTATTTTTGGAGCGCGCAAACCCTTTGTATCTGGGACCTGCGAGCTGCGACAGGCCATTGAAGGAGACTGGGTCGACTACGGTTCGCCTGCTCTCCAGTATCATGTCACGAGTTTCAAGGTGAGTAGGGACCACTCGTAGGCCCAAACTGCCACGACGCAGATTGCTCGCAGAATGCATAGAAAAAGACCAGCCCGTGGCAGCCACGCGCAAGAAACGGGGCCGCGCCGTAGTGAGCGCCAATCTCTCCAGGCGATCTACAGTGCGGAGCCACTAAAGCGAAGAGTGGGTCACTACTCCGACCACCCCCCCCCTTCCTTCATCTTCCACTACCAATCAGCCAGCCGCGAACCGCTGCCAATTTCGGGCTTCCCCTTTATTTTCTTCCTCACTCGTAGCATTCTTCCCAGCTTGCAGCAAAAAAGGGGCCCCCGTCACGTCAGACCCAGGCCAAGGGTGGGGTGGGGGTGTGCAGCAGCGAAGACGCGGCTTGCTATCATCAGCTGTACCGTCACGACTGGCGGGCTGCCGGCAGATGCCAAGTACCTCGACTAGAATCTGTACTTGGTGCCTGGACACACAATTTCCTAGACAACACTTCCTCGCTGCTGCCGGCGCCGCCTTTCTCTCGCCAGTTTTCTTCCTTCTCCTCCCCTCGCTCTCTCTCTCTCTCTCTCTCTCTTAACTCTCCCTTCCATTTCCCGTCCCCTCCTCCTCCTGCACACCCAGGCGCCCCCGCTTCACCACCCCCCTCCTCTCTTCCATTTCCGCGCGCTTTCCTCCCCCCACCGCAACCTCCTTGTCTGTTCGTCGCTCCGGGGAGATCTTTTACGATTCGAGGTGGGCAATCTCAACCTCAGCATTTCGTCGACACACATACACACACCGGCTGTGCGTCCGCCTGCTCCTCGCTCGTCGGCAATCGATTCGCTCGCTTGTCTCTCCTCGTCAACCGCGCCTCTCCCACGCGAGTGCATGTTTGCCCACTCGTTCCACCTGGCCTCACCATCATCTTCCCGCCGACGACGCCCGCCTCCCGAGCAAGAGCAAAACCTCACCCGCCCTCAATCGCCTCGGCCCTGCCCTAGGGCCCTGCCTCTAGGTTGATCTTGGCTTCTCCCACATTTGCTTCGAGGCAGCTCGACAGCAGACCACTGTCCAACCACCAGGTACTAGCCATCCAGGCTGTGCCGACTTCCGCCCCTCTAAAAATGATAGGAGTCAAGCTGTCGGGCTCAAAACGAGCAATGGCCATGCGGAGTCCCTTCTCAAAGGCCCTCTTGGCCGCCCTGTGCATGCTGCTCGCCCTCATGGCCATGATGCACACCGAAACCGTCGTCCCCGTCCGCGCCCATCTCTTTGGAAAGGCTGCCATCAAATCTTCCCTGACCCAGCAGCAGCGGCCCCTCGAGCCTCACACGCCTCCTTTTCCTCAAGGCCCCTCGGACGCTGCCGAAAAGACCCCCGATCCCGCTCACATCATGAACTGCAGCGTCGACACGCCCCATCTCTCCGAGATCAAGCAGCGCTACGGCCTCGAAGATAAGTTCAGCTACATGAAGCGCTACGTTCGCTTCACCCGCAGGCAGGGCCTCGACCGCAAGAGCATCACCAAGCTGCCCCAGAACCTGCTGCCCTCGACGTCCCTCAAGACTGTCGACGTCAACCAGCACTATGCCAGCGACGTCTGCGCCGAACCCCTCGACGTCCAAGTCCCTGCATCGGGCCTGCCCTCGACCGTCAACGCCTCCGACTTCATGTTCGGGGTCTCCACCACCTATCAACGCTTTATGGACTCGGCGACGACCCCCATTAACGAGTGGATGTTTTGGCTCACCGACGGCCGCGGCCACTCCAACGGCGGCAAGCTGCTACTCATGCTCTTAGACGCCAGCGACAACGAGCTCCAGGAGGTGGCTAACCTCCTCGGCGACGTGGGCATCGATGTCGACGTCTATCACTCCGACTCGGCCGTCGAGATGGCCGTCCGCTACCTGACGCTGGTGCCCACGCTGTACACGCACGCCGATGCACACAAGAAGAAGTGGCTCGTGACGTGCGACGACGACACCTTTTTCCCGAGCATGCACGCCCTCATCAACAGGATTAACGGCTACGACCACACGAGGGAAATGTATATTGGCACCCTCTCCGAGGACGTCGGCGCCGTCGAGCGCCATGGCTCCCAGGCCTTTGGCGGCGCCGGGGTCTTTCTGTCGGTCCCCATGGCCCAAAACATTACCGAGCGTTACAGCAGCTGCAGCACCGAGCAAAAGGTGCTTGAGTCCAACTCGGGCTGGGGCCCGCAAGGCGACATCCTCCTCCGCAAATGCATCTACGAAAACACGGAGACGCGCCTGACCACCGTTTGGGACCTCTGGCAACTCGACTTTTATGGCGAGCCCGCCGGCTTCTATGAGTGGGGGATCAAGCCTCTGTCCCTGCACCACTACCGAGGCGGCGGCTGGCATAAGGCCAAGCCCGGCCAGTTTACCAAGATTGCCCAGACGTGCGGCGAGGATTGCACCCTGCAAAGGTTCCAGACGGCCGACAACTTCATCATTTCGGGCTACTCCATTGCCCACTACCCGCAAGGCATTACCTTTGACACCAACCAGATGGAGTCAACGCTGTGGGCCGCGCCGGAAAACAAGGGCTGGAACCTCGACTTTATGTTTGGGCCCCAGCGGCCGGCTCTTGAGAAGACGGGCCGCAAGATTGCCTGGGAACTACAAGAGTCCGAGGTTCGGTCTGACGGCTCCGTGATGCAGACGTATACACGCAAGAGGAACGACCCTCGCTGGGTCAACAAGGATGGCCTTCCAATGAGCAACATTGATGGCATCTTTGAACTGGTCTGGATCCCATCATAGGCCTCTGGATTGCCACCTGGCTTGGCACATCTCACAATGATACGACCCCGGGTCCCTTCACCGGCAACAGGGCTGCAATCTGCACCCTGCGGATGAACAACGGCGCTCCGCGTAGTACCGGGCAAGCTTCAGTTTCGGCGCCGCCCATCTCCCACCTTTCATCCATCACCATCTTCCAACACGACCCAAAACCAGGTACAATCAACGTGTGCCAGGTCCAGGGCCTTGCGATTACCACCGAGACCGGGCTTGGTAGGCAAGGGCAGACTGAACGAAAACGAATATGCGTGGGGCTATCACGTGTGGCGAAATACGTCTCATGCTTGGACTCACTTGTACGAGTCACTCATCTTCTTTGACATTGGGAACAAGGCGTTCTGGCCAGCATGCCATATCCCCTTCATTCAGTCTTCCCGGCCAAGGCCATCCAGTTCTTTTGTTTTGGAGTCCCAGTGGGTCATGGGAACCGGTCCAACTTGACGGCTGCTTTTGCATTTGAACAATTCTGTGAGAATAGCCATTGTTCGCTGCCTTTATTTTTTGAGTCCTAGCATCAAGGCCTGTCGCCCGGGAGTCAAGGGAGACTCGGTGTACATACGGATCTAATGTATCGATCTACATGAGGCAGCGGGCTTTTGTTTTCCCCCACTTCTTTTTCTCTTCGACATAGAACATCGAGCAGCTAGCGAGTCAGCTCAAGCATCGGGCATTGGGGAGGCGAGGTTAAACACGATGGAAGCAACGCCGTATGTAGGAAACGCCTGGAATCCGGGCTGGCACTGGGTGGGCAAAACGGGGCTTCTTCAACGATGCGGCAGAGCCATTGCCACCTACCTGATATATCCATATTACATAGATGGAGGAAGAAGCGGAGATGAGCCCCAATCGTCAACAGAAACATTGGCCCCTCCCGTGTACCGAGATTACCCTCGATATTTCGCCGTGGACCATAATGATGTCCTCGGTGGTGTGGCACGGATCCTGCTTAGTCATTTGGACGCCCCCCAAAAGATCCGTCACCGCTCCGCCCTCCCAAGCCTGGCCATTCTCATTGAGCTTCAAGGCCCTCTTAAGTCGTTTGCTTGCTCGCCCTCCCCGCGACTAGACGCCACGCGGTGCGACTTGCGCCGAGGTCCCAGGCTCTGGGTCCCCGTCAGACGGCAACGCCGGCCCAAGGAATCCCGCCTGATCCCGTCCTCCATCGGCCTTTGATTCGCCATGTCGACGACGTGAGGTTTCCCGCAAACACTGTTCCCTCTAGCCGTGGGGACCTCAGACTGACGCATTCGACGTCGTAGTACGAGCAACACCCTCTCCCTACCGTTTCGCAGGTCCACGCACATCTCGCTCTCGTCGACGATCCGGCGGTATATCAACACCAAGTATGACCAGCACCCCGACATGTTCAAGCAGGACCTCGAGGTCGTCGACGCCCTGCGCAGAGATGCCGTCAACGTCCGCGAGCCGCACTCGAGCGGCATCAAGAAACTGCAGGCCTATGCCGGTCAGCTGGCCTGGGTTGGCGGCAAATTCCCCATTGACGTGCGTCGCCCCGACTCTGTCCTCGTGCGGATTGACTGACGACGGCGAATTCCTGTGAGCAGATCGGCGCCGAGTTTACCTGGTATCCCGCCCTCGGTTACAACACGGAACGGCCCATGGTCCGCAACAACCTCAAGTACGAGCTCATGAACGTACTCTACAACCTCGCTGCCCTCTACTCCCAGCTTGCCGCCAGCAGCCCCCGCGCAAGCCCCGACGGCCTCAAGGTTGCCGCCCACCATTTCAACCTCGCCGCCGGCGTCCTGTCGCACATGCAGACTGAAGTGCTTCCCGAGCTGAGAATGTCGGACCCGCCCGAGGACATGGACGCCCACACCCTAGAAGCTCTGGTGCAGCTGTTGTTGGCGCAAAGCCAGGAATGCTCTTGGCAGAGCGGCGTGATGAACGGGCTTAAAGACCTCAGCATCGCCAAGCTCGCGGCCCGGGTGGCGGATCTATACAACCTGGCCGCTGAGGCGGCCGTACGAAGCGAAGCCATCAGCAGCGCCTGGATACACCACATGACGGCCAAGCACCATCACTTTGCCGCCGCCGCCCAGTTTCGCGCCGCCCGCGACTGCCTCGAAAAGAGAAAATACGGCGAGGAGGTGGCGCGGCTGAGAGATTCTGTCGCGTGCGTGACCGAAGGCCTCAAGGAGACGAGGGGTGGCTATTTGAGCAAGCTCATCCTTGATGACCTCAACGGCCTGAAGCGTAAGGCCGACGACGACTTGAAGCGGGCGGAAAAAGACAATGACATGATCTTTCTCAGTACGTTGGCCGAGCCAGCTGCACCGGTCCGTGGCTAACAAGGCAGATCCGGTGCCACCCAAATCTGAGCTCAAGATCTTAGATCGGTTCAACATGGCCGAGGTCAAGGTGCCGCTCCAGGTGGCCAACCCATACGATTACCTGGGCGACAAGGCAGAGTTCGGGCCTGCCCTGTTTTCTCGACTCGTTCCCTTTTCCGTCCACATGGCCATTTCGATCTACGAAGAGCGCAGAGACAGAATAGTGAACCAAAACATCATCCAGGAGCTGGAGGCGTTGACGGAAAAGGTCCACACGTTGCTCTCCTCCATCGGTTTGCCGGGGTCGCTCCAGGCCCTGGAAAAACCGCTCGGGCTTCCGCCGAGCTTGGTGCAGCACGCCGAGGAGCTCCGTCAGGGTGATGCCATTGGCAGGGTCCACAAGAGCCTCGCAGATATTGACAAGTTGCGAGCGGCAGACTTGGCCATCTTCGAGGCAGGAATGGCGGCATTGACGGCCGAGCGTGACGAGGACGAGAGGTTAAAGGCAAAGTACGGAACAGACCGGTGGACGCGCCCAGTCAGCCTGGGAGACCCTCAGGGAGCCAAGCTGTGGAGCCACGCGAGTGAGATTGAGGGCTATTTTCAGAGCAGCGTCAGCAGCGACAGCATCGTGAGAGACAAGTTTGCCGCCAACGAAGGCCTGCTGCGCGTGCTGTGCGGGCCGGACCGCGGGCTGATGGAGTTTGTGCCGTCGAGCACGCAGAGGGAAACGAGCGACGAACTCAAGTCGGCGGTGGGCAGACTGCGCAGCGCGTACAACGACGTCCTCCGTCTCGAAAGCAAGAGACGGAAAAGGGTGGAACGGCTGCGAGAGGATGCACGCAGGGACGACATCAAGCCCGACATTCTCCGGGAGGCGGCGCGGCTGGAGAGAAGCTACCCGACAACGGCGATTGTCCCCGCGCACTTTGAGGATTTCTTTGAGAAGCGGCTCGACCGGTTGTACGAACCCGAGCTTGACAACATTGGCAACGAGGCCGCGGAGCAGGAGAATCTGCTGGCTCTGGTAGAGCGGGCGAACCGCGAATTCGACTCACAGAGGCGCAAGGTGGGAGACCGCGGGCTTCGCGAGCGCGAGCAGGCCCTGCAGCGGCTGGACAGCGCGTACTTCAAGTACAAAGAGATTGTGAACAACCTCGAGGTGGGGAGGAAATTTTACAACGACCTCAGCAAAATTGTCGGGCAGGGGTTCCGAGACGTCGTCAAGGGGTGGGTGGCGCAACGGCAGATGGATGCGCGAGCCCTCGAAGAGTGAGTTGGCCCTATCCTCGTGCGTGGGCCGCTGGTGGCCGGAGGAGTCTGCTAACGACGACGTCTTGCTAGGGAATTGAGCATGCCGCCCCTCTCGAACCTCAACCTGTCTCGCAACCACACAGCCGCACGCGGCACTCAGGCAGCGACCATGCGGTCGTACGAGCCGACCCAACCACCGCGATTCGTTCCCGAGCCCATGTCGCCGCGACAGGCGGCGTCGATGCAGCGCCCCGTGCAAAGCCCTGCGGAGGCGACGATTCAGTCCTGGGCCGCCGGGGGCGTCCAGCAGCCCCAGCCGATGGCGGTAGCCCCGAACCCGATGGGCGGGGCTGTCTGGAGCCCGGCGGTGGGGATCAAGTTTGGCAGCGGGCCGGAAACGACAGAGGGACAGGGACAGGGCCAGGGCCAGCCTAGCAAGGGAGGGCCGCTGGGCGGTACGTGGGATCCCAGTGCGGGCATCAGGTTTGGCTGAGCCGTGCCATGCGTCGGGTGTATGTCCCGAGGTCGACTGCACGTGGGCACATGAGGGCGAAAGCACTACGCAGGCCCAAGGAAGACGATGCCTCCCTCCTCCATACCCCTCTACTTCTCTCTCACCCCGGCTACAAGAAGTCTTACAAGGCGCTCACCGGCGGGATAACAGGCTTCGACCTGTTCATAGAAGCGATGCACGACAGCGAGAGGGACCCAGCCAGGCAGCAAGTCAGCTCAAGAGTTAAGGCGATGTATTCTCGAAATGCCTGAAAAACAAAGGGCAAGTACAAACCCCACAAGGAAGAGGAGAGATGAGTTTGAACACGTTTCAAGCACAGGACTTGTTCTAGGGCTGGTCGGGTGAGCTTGAAGGGTATCAATATGCAAGTGCAGGATGACAGAGGGCAAGGCTATCTATCGATGAGCAAAGGGAGGAGATCAAGAAGAGAGATGATTTCAAAAGGTTTCGAGGGCTTGGCATCATTCAGAGGCCAAGAGTTGCTAAGAATCGGTTCGGTTGACGCCATTCACCTTTGGGGCGGCAGCGCCGCTGTCGTCGTCTATAGCCTTCATCTGGGCATTCATGCGGCCAAACTGCCACTCGGGCAGGGTGATGCCCGTCTGGTCGTGGATGGTGGTCATGAGGGGCGGCAGCATCTGATAGACGTTGCGCATGGCGTCGAGACCGTCGCTGGCAGCAGCAGCGTTATTTGCGGCGCCCGTGTTCCAGATACTAATCTTGGGCTCGATCGAGGCCGCGGATGGCGTCTGCGTTTGCCCTGGCCAGCTCAACATAGGTGCTCTTTTCGATCATGAGGTACTGCAGCAGGCCTTGGGGCCCGCCAAAGGCGTTGGCGAGCTTGGCGTAGGCGTCGGCCATGCAGGCGAGGGCTTCGGCGTCCTTTTGCTTGCCCGAAGCGGCGGCGTCGGAGGCTTTTTCGGCGGCATAGGCGGCGGCATCGGCGTCGGCGCGGACCTGGTATGCGCCGGCGTCGACGGCTTGCTGGCGGCTCTCGCGGGCAGCGGTGGCGGCGACGACATCGAGGGCGCGCAGGCGCTCGAGCTCAGCGGCGGCGCGCTTGAGCTTGACGTCGCGCTTGAGGTCCTCGTCGCGCGACTCGAGGGCGCGCTCGGCCGAGACGCGGGCAATGTGGACGTCGCGGTCGAGGCCGGCTTGGGTCGTGTTGAGCTTGGCCTCGGCCTGGGCGCGCTCAATGTCGCGATCCGTCTTCTGAACGGCTGTCTCGGCGTTGATCTTGGCAATCTCGCGGTCCTGCTGGCCGCGGCGCTGGGCCTCGCCGACGGTGCCGCGCAGCTGGGCATCGGCGACGTCGATGCGGGCTTGGTTGGTGGCGCCCTCGTGGGCCTTGCGCGAGAGCGACTCAAAGTAGACAGATCCAGGCGCGTCCTTGAGCTCCTTTACATTTGCGTTGTAGATCTTGAGGCCAAACTGGTCCAGCTCGGACTGGATGTTGCGGAAGATGCGGCGCTTGAAGACGTCGCGCTCGGTAAAGATCTCCTCCATGGTCATGCTGGACACGAGCACGCGCGTCTCACCCTCGATGATGCCCTTGGCAATGTTGGCCACGTGCGCCGTCTCGTCCTTGGAGCCGGCCAGCGCCGCCTTGCCCCCCTGCTGCAAGTGGCCGGCGGTGGCGAGCAGCATGGCGTACTTGACGAGGGAGTCGCCACGGTCCTCGACGTCGTCGAGAGACGCCGCCGCCTGGTTGCCGCCACCATGGCCGTTGCCCCTGCTGTGGTTGTTGCCGTTGCTCCTAATGTAGCCCCCGTGGGTACCGTCGGAACCCTTTGTGCCGGCGTCAACAGCACCGCCGGGGGCATTTGCGCCGCGGCGGTTGACGTCCGGGCTGACGGTGAAGACGACGGGCAGGGAGAACTGCAGCTTCTCCTTGGTCATGGCCTGCAGGTCCATGGCATAGTCGTGGGGCTGGACGCTGAAGCGTTTGCAGCGCTGAAAGGGCCAGACCCAGGCAGCCTTTGTGATGTGCACGCTGCGGATGCCCATGCCTGTAATGGCCAGGTACTCGTCCGGGTCTGAGATGCGGTACCTCATGGTTACGGCTGAGGAGGTTGTTGGGCGGTGATGGTACTCTTGGTGTTGATTGTTCAAGGGGTGACGACGAGGGGCTGGGGGAAGGAGTGTGATCTGTCGCATGTGATGGGATCTTGCACGAGAGAGATGCTGATATATATACTCTCTCTACCTTGCTCGCCTGTTGTTCGTGCAGCTATGTTCTCGGCTGTACGAGTACGAGTGCGCAAAAGGTTCCAGCTGTGTTCGGGGGCTGACGCCACCCTTGGGGAGAGGGGGAGGTTTATTTCGTAGCTAAGAGAAGCCTTATTCTGGGCACGGGCGTTGATAAGTGCGCACGTGTGTGGTGATGGATGTCCATGTTTTGTCGATGCCATGTGCGTGTAACAGGCCGTCATCTCAGCTCCCAGCTCCCCATCTCCCCGGATACTTTGCATCCCCTTCGAGCTGTCACTCCCCTCTAGGCAGACGCATTGGCCCCAGTCCGCACCGCCCTCCCCCTTTCATCGGGACCCTTCATTGGCGCATGCATACACATAACGGATCTGACTTGTCTCGGCTGCCTGGCTGGGGGCCCACGCAATGCACTCTTTTTCGCGAGGCGCACTCCCTCCACTCGTCGGTAGCTTTGTATTTGTCCGGCTGGGCACAGTAATCTAAATAAACGCGGAAGCATAGCCGGCGAGCGCGGCATTGACGCACCCTTGAGGCGGTTGATCAGGTGGGAATCTGGAGTGTGGTGTTGGCTCTTTGGTCGTTGGTTAATTACACCTAGTCACATATGTGCATACCCTTGGCATGGAAGGATGGAAGGACGAGAGAATCCTTGTCGACGCACCTTGTTCCCGTCCACCCGGCCTTTTGCGGGGGAGGCGGCGGCGGCGGCGTCATGAGCCAGCCCCTGCGAGGTGATTACTTACCGCGGGTCACAGTCGACGCCACAAATCAGGGCCCGGCGCCGTCTCGTCTCGGCTCGTCCCGTGACTGGATTAAGCACAACGGTCCTCGGCCAGCCAACCGCTCCACTGACCGACTACTCTCGGGCGTGCCCATGGCCCCATCTCGCCATCCATCATTCTGGTACCAGCGGTCTTGGCTTGGGCTCTGACACTTTCACAGGCCAACTTCATCATATTTATAAGTGCCCTTCTATAACTTTCTTGCCCACAACGTAGACAACGCCGGCCGGGTCCGACCCCACTCCGTCACCGGCGAAGAAAGCCCGGCTCGGGGCTCCACTACGACCCGGCCGGGCTCACCGAAACACTGTCACTCACGAGCCTTCTGCCGGCCGTCTTCTTTTTTTTAATAACGGTCCAGCATAGTTAGAAGTTCAGGTCCGCACCCTCAAAAGACAGGAGTCCGTTTGCCTCGCTTATTCTTAGTCCCGTCGTTTTTCTCTTGCTCCTCCCTCCTCGGCATCATGGCTTCGTCATCTTCCGAGCCTCCCCGCAACGCCCTCGTCTACTTCAGCACCACCAGCACCACAGGGCTGGCCCTCACCTCTGCCCCTCGGATTCTGCGTCGTCCGGATCGACGAGAGGGTAATTCCAGCGCCCAAGAACATTTGCGGCGTCACAAAAGTGGTCGCCGAGGGCCTGTGCTCCACGCCCAGACGTGCATGCCCGTCCTCGCCTGCGCACCACTCGCTTCTTCCCTGGGCCTGACGACGACAACGACGACGCCCGCCGCGCCAGCATGAGCGATGACAACCCCTAGCTGCTCATGTTCGCCACCCGGTCGCTACGAGTAGCCCCGTTTGCCCACCCTGGCTGTGAGCTCGCTCCGCCAGTCGTCGACCCGGGTCGCGGTCCAGAACGGCGAGCGTGTGCGTATTGTTGGCGAACGGCGGCTGTGCGTTCATCATTTACCTGGCCCATCCGATATCTGCGGCGCGGCGCATGGCACAGGCGGCAGCGGATTCGATGACTGTCGGCACCGGCGTCTACACCAAGCGCCGAAGGGGCGATCCACTTGCCATAGAAAGGGTTCGCCACGGCCTATACTAAGTCCACGGGGACGGTATATGGCAGGTGACGTGCGGGATTATGAGGACTATTACGGCGACCTATAGGTGAGTTAGGGTCAAAACCCATTTTGGGTGGTTTTGTCATGTTATTTGCTTGGCAAAAGTACAGTGCACGCTCTAGCAGACGGCACTGCAAGTGACTGTTATAATTGACTGTTGTTAAACATAACAGTCTTCGCGACATCGTCACTATTCACTGATACTCACAAATAGTAGGCGCACCCTACGCGGCTTAAGCCCACCAGTGATTCCTGCACACGAGTCTGCAGCATACGCACACTAATGAACGGATAGGGTAGCTTCCTTAAAAAGTTGACTAGTAGCGATAAAAGGACCTTTCTTAATGCATTAAAACACGCATGCTTTATGTGATTCGTTTGAACTAAAGGCCTTGCTACGCGGTAAAATGTGTACTAGTTTTGAGTCTGGTATCTTCGTGAGCCTATCTATGGATAGCGCGGGGGGTAACTACTTCTTTCTCAGCAACGAAGGGTGCTGGAATGCCAAATTCAACAAGAGGAACAATCCTTGCCTTCTTATACGAGCTCTCGTGTTTCTTGGACCCAACCGGGGCTTTGTTTTTTTGGTGGAATCGTGAGCATTTAAACAAAGGATGGATTACGAGAAGGGTCGCGTTAACACGATGCGCATGTAGGGCCCGGCTGTCCAGGACTTTTGCCGACCTACGGAGACTGGACGCGCCTTCCTAGGCGGCTTCCACGTCTGATTTGTGCTTAACAACGACGAACTAAAGCTTACGATAACATCGTTAGCTATATTTTTCGAGCTGTTGAAGAGCCCATTGCCCCGGGCCTGCAGCAATAGCCCGGGAAACCGTGAGGCAGACCCTGTTCTTTGGCCCATCTCTGGATGTCGCCATGCCTTTTGCTAGAGGCCTGACTTGCTGGCCCGCTTACGAGCGGCACGGGCACTTTTCAACGGTCTTGAGGGCATGCCCACTGATTTTCAGCCGTGCACTGGCAGTCTCTACCCGTATCTGCCTTTCCTAAGTCATATGGTGAAACACCGCCCCGCCCCCGCCAGATTGCAGTCGCGCAGACGGTGCTGAAAGTGGACAAGCAAAAAGTTTATGCGTCTCCCTGTCACCTCCTCTCAGAACTACCGTTGCACTATGCAAAGTAGGTTCGCGCACCCTAATTAACATATGAACGGTTAGTGTGCTCCATCTGCGCGCCGTCCAGACAGCTCCCTGCTATGAACTATGGGGACAAATTTATTTCTTCATGCTGTGGACTTGCTCATAATCAGGGACGCTGCCTGCCACAGCCGGAACTGTGGGCATCGCCACGGACGCCGTAACAGCTTCTAAGAATCGGCAGCTATACCCAAGCCTTGGCCCGGGCAGATGATGAGCAGGAATTAGTCGAGCTGCTGTAAGCATCCATGGCACCGTTGATTGCTGGCCCCTTTTTTTATGTTCCGTACCTCTTCTTAGCGGCGTGGAGTTTCCTTCACCTCCTAGGGAATTACGGAGTACATTAAAGCCGATCTCTTGTCTGTTGCGACTCATTAGGTCCTTGGAAATGGATCAACGATTGCGGAACCCGGCCTTCATGCACCATGCATCCAAATATTGCCGATGAGCCAGTGACTCGTATTCTTAGCAACCAGCTTCATTATAAACACCAGCCAGCAATATATAGTGCTTGATCAAGCCCTCTCGTTTCGTCTTCAGCCCTCCCTCAGTGCAGTCGTTTCTCCATGCCTTGAAATCTCAAAGGTCACACACTCTTTTCTGATTCATTCATTCATTCATACATCAAGACTTGAACATTTTGCTTTCTTCCCTCGACCTTGCACACACGATCTTTTTTTACTTAGCACACGGCTTACAATGCGCTTTGCCCTGTTCACCGTGGTGCTCCCGCTTGCAGCGGCCATCCCACCAAAACCGGCAGGCGTAAAGGATGCCGTTTCCCAAAATCGGACAAACTTGGAGGCCAATGTTTCCGTAACCCTGACAGGTCGGGAGGGTGAGCTTCCCAAAAACCTTACATATGAAGGGGAAACTATAGCAGTGGAACAAGTTGATGCTGTTGACCATGTGATATCACGACGGTACAATCCAGGCAGTTGGCAAGAGTGGCTAAACCGGAATCAATGGCGGTCTGGAAATCGGGGTCAGTCGCAAGGTTCGAGAAACAACGGCGGCTGGGAGCCTCAGGGGGGTCAGAGCGGCCAGAATTCTAGATCCTGGGGCGGCAGGGGGGAGGTCTTGACCTTCGCCGGCAACTCGGATGTCGACTACGAGGCGTTCAAACAACTAACCCTCAACTTACACAACATGGCCCGACAAAAGCATCCAGACACCGGCCCGCTAAGCTGGAACGAAGACTTAGCCGAAGACGCACGGAAATATTCTGCCGGCTGTGTCTATAAACATGGTCATTCTGATCTTGGGTCAGGCAAAAGATGGGGCCAGAACATTGCCTCTTCTCATACCGTCTGGAAGTGGACTAGCGGACCGAATGCTGGACAGCTTGTGCCCCTAACGGATGATCAGAAAAGGCCATTTTACAATGCCAACGAACAGATGAAAAGAAGCTTCACGCACTGGTGGGATTGGGAAAGGTTTCTTTATAACTGGTGGGATACTGCCAACGCAGCATCGCCACTTCAAACTTTCTCAGGCAATGGGAAGGATACCATGGACTCGCTACGGTCGAAATATCCCGGGGAAAAGATACCAGCTCAAGTCGGACATTTCACCCAGATTGTCTGGAGGGATACCACCGAGGTTGGCTGCTCCGTGACAGTGTGCCAGCCAGTCGATGGGGTTTCATTCAACCAAATTGGCGCGTATACTGTTTGCAACTATGCCGAAGCAGGTGAGCTACGGAACCCCCTTGGAGTGTCTTCTCCAATTGCTTCGTCCTTGCTCTAACAAAGTGGTGCAGGCAATGTACAGTGGTCACAACCGGCCCCAGGCACTAGTCGGTACGCTCTATATCAGGAGAATGTCAGGGTGCCTTCTGACTGGTCTGGATGGTGGAACGAGCTGTATACAACGAACTAGAGGAGCTGGCGCTTAACATTGTAGCTCTCAGACAGTAGTGAGAGCACAGTGGAAGGAAAAGGGGGTCTTGGAGAGGTGAATTGCGATGCATCTCTCGTTCTAGCTGTGTGAGACCCAAAGGGGCATTTATCTGCATAGATAATTACCTCGACGCTTAAGAAGGTTTGGTTGAGCAACCAACAACCAACGACTGGGGCTAGGCTAGCTAGCTCCGTGGCAATAGACGCTAGGCCGCCTTATGCGGGCTGCCGGCCGCTGAACTAACCGAGGTACATTTGTGATGGCACGATGCTTATCAAGGCTTTAGCGGGGCCCAAGGCGGTGGAAAAAATAAAAGGCTCCATAGTGAGGTGGGACGGTACGTATCCGTACAAGCAGAGGTTCGCACTATATATCTATGGGGACAAGTCTCACTGCACGTCCACAGGGCCCCGCCAACGGGCACTAATCTGGCTCCTGTCGTGCTTTGTGTTAGCATGCAGTCAGAACTCGTTAGTTCTTTCCCATGAGCCGTACGCAAACTCGCCCGCCACATTCTGTGGTGCAACAAGCAGTGCCCGGGGGACACTTGTTCTGTGGGCAAACAATGATGCATGAGGCATTTGGCTGCCACCGTCGGTTGCCATGTTCGCACACCACTGCTATGAAAATGCAATCCAGTAGTGGGCGTTGACCATACCTTTTTACACTTTGGAAATACTGACCCTGGGTTTTGCCAGACCTAGTCCGATAAGGCCGGCCAAAAACATGAGTGAAGCTTTCATATTGAGTAAAGATGTTTCGTGTAAATCAGCACGCTTGATCGAATGGTGGCTAGATGCCCAGACTGTGCGGTAGTTGCAATGATATTTCCGCATGGCTTGGGCACTTCCTTAAATAGTACTCTCGCGCCTCTGATGGCGGCGGCGGCGGCTAACCGGCACTGAGTGATCTCGCAGCAACGACCTCTTGTATAGCCATGACGTTGCAAGTACGCAATCTAGCCCCCAGCCAGCGGATGATAGCCCTAGTCTCTGCAGCCATTAGGCCGGCCACCTAAAGTTACTATACCTATGACCCACCTAGCGACTAGCAGTCGGCCTCCCTATCATGGCTTTATAAAGTTCGGGGGACCAAATTGGTAGGAGAGTGTGAGGTTTGGATAGCAAATGCCTTTATAGCTGCCCACATCAAGGTACAATATGACTTTCTGTCGAGGAATGGCAGCTGCAAGGCCAACTAACCGCGCGGACATCTAAGTTATCTTGCCAATACTCAATTAAAACGGTCAGCATAGTAATACCGCCCATCATTGTCCACACGCGCTGAAGAGGCCTTTTCAGCCCTTCCAATAGCCCATGTCCATCACAGAGCATTATGTGTCTCTGCAACATTCTCCATGCCGCCACCCCTACTATACACATGCTTTGCCCGTATGTCTCGGCAGGAATGACCCGAGCTTAGCACAAACGATGGATGGATTCGGGGGCGCTGGTTGATCGTCTAAAGATTTGCCGTGGGCCCGCGTGCCCTCGCCAACTCCCGGGCACCAATCAACCGCCAGGGGCTTCGTTTGTCACCTGCGTTTCCGACTTCGCATTACTCCCTAACACTCCAGTGATGAGATTTCACGACATAACTGGGCCATTCAAAACGCCGTCGGGGCAACGCCCCTCATCGCAAAGTAGAGGCGCACCGTTGAATTGACAGCCGGGTGCTCGTCTCTGCTTACAGGGCTGCGCGCACACATCTTACATTCGCGATGGCTTATGGCAGGGGGGGGAAGCGGTAAAGAAATCACCCAACAAGCGAAGCTGCGCACAGAATTTGTATGCCTCCTTTTTGCGAGGCGTTAATATGGATCAGGGCCTAGATATGGATGGATGTAGGCACCAAACTTTGTCCATTTATACTGAGTCTTGGGCTTATTTAGCGTTCTCACATAAGCCTAAATTAAGACTGAGAGAACATGGCCTCGGCTCCCTAGCAGGGAGAAAATACGTCCTCAGACCCAGAAGTTGATTAAGGTCTATGTCTCCCTCTGTCTCCTCGCCCTAAAAGATGAGCTTTTATAATTACCCCTCTTTCCTCCTGGTAGTCCCTTCTCTCTATAGTGGGCTTACTTCCTTCCTCACAGGGCATGGGGTCGTAGAAACTGATGAAATTGGACCACTATCCCACATCCCACGCCGCTAAGACGGTCTAATTTCAATAAGTTTTTACGGTAGCCGTCCACGATGAACTCGGCCATTGGCTCGAGCTGTAATTACTATGCGCTCCATGAAGATTGCGGCGGCTCAGGTGATATGAAGGACAATACATTAGCGGGCTAAGAAGGCGTCTGGTGGCTGTCCTGTCTCTCCAGCCTGGTCTGCATCCCATCAGCAACCAATCTTTTGAGCTATTCGAAGGATCAAGGCACAACCCACCGTAGCCACGACACTGAGCCTGGTGGCTTGGTGCTCATTCCCTTGGCGCACTGCAGCCCTAAAGCCAACCTTGCAGCAGTTTAAGGTGAATAGAATTCACGCCCGGTCACGAACACCGCACTTCGCACAAGCTGCTCTCCTCAATCCCACCACTAAGCCAATAAACGACGAGCCAAGCAGCCTACTACCCTTCGCCATCGAGAGAAGCCACAATGTCTCGTGGATCCATTCCATGCGTCGTGTCAAGTTCGCTAGGAATGCTACGCCACTCTCATCTTCTGCTTGTAAGCTCTCCGGAGTCCGTTGACTGGCAGGCGAGTCGTATAACCCCGCCGACTGGAGAGAGTGCCGCTCATGTCCGGGGCCATTCCTTGCAGTGCGGAATACCCTATTGTCCCATCCAGCTCTAGATTTAGTGGCCCTCTCGAGGGCTAGCATAAGGCCTGTTGGGGGAGCCTTTTCCTGTTGGAAGGTTGTGTGGCTACTGTTGAAGATTTTGAGGATGCTTTGGCTGGGAGGCTGCCGTCTACTGTCCTTGGCTGCTGTTACACGCGGCCGGCGGCTTGAGTCTATAGAGCTTGCTGGGCCCTGTTCGACACTGCCGGTCTTTGGGTGCACATCAATATAAAACATGACGCCGCTCCCATCAGACACGGTGCCGCAAATTCGGCATCGCGACGCAAACACCAGCAAGATGAAGGCCCAGATCTTTCTCTGTGCCACCCTGGTCTGTTTAGGCCTGGCCTATCCATTAGCAAACACCCTGGGTTCGAACGACGGCCAAAGCACCCTTTTGCCAGACAACGAACCAGCCCCATCTCGGCAACGACGAGGAATCCCGATTTTGTCTGCAATAATAGCCGGCTCCAGGTTTTTCTCCATCCTTTTTCGGATCATTTCCGGCTCTAAGACTATCGGTCATATGGCTGGTGCCATGTATGGTGTCCAGGTTTCCCATATTATCGCCATGCAGGCACTCAAGGCTGTTGGCACCAAGACTCTCGGGGCTCTTTCTGCTGCCATGAGGTCTAGCGCCTTCGCCAAGGTTGGCGCTGCTCTCACTGAGGGCGCTGTTGTCGCTGGTGTCACTGGTATCGCTGGTGGCGCGGCTAAAGCACTCATCACCGCTGGCTTCGACAACTGACTGGCGGAATTCGTGACACAGGCATCTACCTGCCCGAGTAGTAAGTACTCTTCACTTCAAGGTACCTATCCAATGCCTCGTACTAATGGCACCGCTCTAGACGGCGAGTTATTGCGATCAACCTGGAAAGACTCAACGGTCGGCCGGTTGAACCATTCCTGTATGAGGAGACCATCTGTGCTGTGCTATCAAAAACATGGCGTTTCCCGAGGTCGCCAAGCACCCAAACCATTCAATCAAATCGGACAGCTGCGCATAAAGATGGGGGCGGTGAGAAGCGTATCTGAACTAGTAACTGTGAAGGCGGCTTGCCAAGAACAGCGACATATTTCAGCCCAAAAGCAATATTGCTGCTGGTCTCGAGCTGTGGCCTGGCAAGAAGATGCACATCGCCACCTGGATCCAAGGGCCACCAGCCAAGGGTAGTGTGAGAACTGTCAGAGCGGACAAGGACTTATAATACGCGATAATTACATCTCTACTGAGGTGCCCTCATTTTGCATGGTGTAACCGTAGTATACCAGCTTGATAAGAATATAACCGATCTCATTTGGGCCAGACTGCGCCGTATTGGTCTGACCTAGGCTTGAAAGTAAGCGCCTGTGGGTAGACATGGCAGCAGGCATCAAGGTGTGAAGAGTGACAACTCTACGAAGTACGGATATTAGGAAAGGCCACCGTGGGCGCTAGATATATATATATAAACCTAGCATAGTCCAAGAATCAAAATCGTCATCTTTTGCGCCCTTATACGCTAAATCGCGCCTAATTAAAGTCGTTTTTTTTTTCCGGAATGGAGTGCGAAGGGCGCGAGTCGTAGTCGTGCCATCAAGAGCCGCGCACAGTCTATAAGGGCGGTTGTTACTCGGGCTGCCGGAAGCGGGCCTCAACGGCTGATTACGGTGGCATATTAGCTAAGGTCCGCAAAGTGTGCTAAAACCTAAACCCACTAAATCACTATACCACTTTATTTATAAAAAATTCTTTAATTTAGATTATACACTTAGTCTCTACTCTTTATAATGCGACTAGTAAAAGACCTCGAGTATATATAAGACGTAATTCTTTCTTCTTTTTATTAAGGATATTCTAACTAGATTATCCTCTAGTATATAAACGAGCGCCTTATCGCCTAAGGGCATTAATCTATTAGCCTATAGACTCTTTAGCGCTAGCTTTCTACTTAAGGACTATCGCGGTAGGTTAATCTTAAGTCGTTATATAAGGATATTACCGAAATTTATACTACTAAGGCGCTAAACTAAGAGATTCTTTACTAAGTTAATTAAATACTGTCTATATAAGGGAGTTAAAGTATTAGCCTATAAACCCTTAAGATATCTCTTACGTTATAGGGCCTTACCCGGTAGTAGTATACTTAAGTATTAGACTAGCGTATTTAATACGTATGCTTTTACTTTTATACTTATAGATTTAATAATGCTTTTATCCTTTAAGATATCTAGTATTAAGATAGGCTCTAAGTATCTCCTTTTATAATTTAACGTATCTACTAGGAGAATAAGATAAAAAGACGTTTCTATATAAGTAAAGAAAGAGAGGCTGCCCTTTAAGTTATAATTATATTCCTTAAAAAAGACATCTAAGAGTCTTTTATAATTTAAGGCTTTAAGAGAAGCTACCTTTATTATTATATATAATAAAAGGGAAATATCTTAGTCTTATAAAATCGCCTCTATAATTTCTATTAGTTAATTCTCCTTAAGGAAGTTTAATAACGTCGAGAAGGGAACTTTAAGTATCGTATAAACTTCTTAGTCCTAGGACTAAATTTCCTTTAATACCTTAATAGGTATAAGAAACTAAATAAGTTTAGGTTTTAGATATACGCCTATATTAATACGTACTTATAGTATATTATTTAGTTTTACGTTAGCCGATCTATAACTATATCTTTAAGTACTCTTAAGTAGTATTTACGTATAATATAGTAGCTTAGGATATAGCTATTCTTTACTCGCTTAGATTATAGCGTTAAGACGCTTCTCTAAGTAGTAGCCTAAGTAATACTTACTTAAGCTAACCTAGCTAAAATCTTATATAAGGACGAGGTAGGGAATTAGTACTAGTACTAATAAGGGGAACGAATTAACTCTTACTATATATATAGCCTAAGTATAAGGAACGTATATATTAAAAGCTAGTAGTCTTAGTTAAGGAAAAGGGTAACTAATCGGTAGATAGTATAAGCTTTTCCCCTTTTATATAGAATATATTTATTTTAACTTATTTTATTAGTCTTTCTTTAATAAGCTTATAAAATATACTTTCTTTATTAAAGATTCCCTTACTAATTAAATTATATTATATATAATTTATAGTACGATTCTATAAAACGAATTTACTAATTTTATATCCTTTTAAAATAGGTATAAGATCTATATATAAAGAAATCGCTAATATATTCTTTCTAGGATCCTAATAAAATTCTATTATAAGTAAGATATACGTAATTAAGGTATCCCTCTAAGCTAGGATAAAGAGGACGATAACTAAGCGGCGCTTTATATAATACTTAAACCGCTTAAAGACTATAATATCGATTCCTTTCTTTTAAAAGAAATAATAGCTTAGTATATAAGAGAGCTTTCCCTTTTTTATAAAAATAGAATTAACGACTATCGACGGCCTTTCTTACCTTTATATATTAGACTTTAATAGCTAATCTAAGAGTATTAGTAAAGTAGCTAACTTCCGATCTTATTACTTACTACTATCTTATATAAGAGGGCATAGTAGTTTATAAGGAAAACTCTTTATCTTATATAAATATATACTTATTCTCTTAGTATATACTTTTCTAGCGAAATTACGAGCCTATCGCTAACCTAGACCTTTAAGGGGACCCTTTACTATAAGCTCTATAAGCTTAAATTTAAGACTTTATATAAGAAGACGTTAAAAATATCTAGTCTTTATATATACTTTACTTCTTTATTTAAATTAGTTATCTTTCTTAAATATAGTATATATAGTACGACGGGCCGCTTTTAAGGGCTTATAGTAATACTACTTAGTCCAGTAATAGGGTCGTTATATAACTTTAAGCGGTATCCTTTTAGTTATTAGTTTTATCTTAAAGGGAAAGGCTTAGACTATAAGAGCGCTACTAAGAGGTATAAGCTAATAAAGTACTTAGGTATATAGTACTAATATATTAGTAGGGTATTAGTAGGGAATTATACCTACCTTACTTATAAGTTATAGACTTCTTACTACTTTAATTAAAGAGGAAAAATCCCTTTTCTTATAAGCTTTAGTTTTATAATAAGGAGAATATAATATATATAGCATAGTACCTCTAGCTATCTCTACTACCTAATTAATTATACCGTAATATATATTCCCTTATAACTTTTAAAGCTTCTCTTTTTAGTTACTTAGTAAAGATAGCTACTTAAAGAATACTATATAACGCTCCTATAGCACGATATAGTAGTTAACTAGTTAAGGCCTCTTTATTATATATATTAAGTATCTACTTAGGAGATAAAGAATAGGAAGATATATTCTTAAAATAGACCCTTATTATAAACGATATTCTAGCTATATTAAAGATATTACTACCTATAAGTATAAGACTACTAACTTATAAAGAAAACCTTATAGCTATATAAGTACGTATTAAGGAGCTAGAGGAGATAAAACGCTTATAAGACCGTATTATATAATTAGAGGAGGAAATTACTAAACGCGCTAGTACTATCGCTATCTATTTAAAAAAGTATAGATAGTCTTACTCCTTTAAATCGGATAGTAGTTATAGTAGTAAGGTTAAGATTAAAAATATCGCTTAATTATCTTAACCTACTAATATATAGAAACGTTTAGACTAGACTTACGATTTAAAGGACGCTTTTAAGGTAGCACTTAAACGTTTTTATTATAATAAAATAAAGATCCTTTATATAGTAGATTATATATATAGCGATTATAAAGCGAGATAGTACTAGTACCTTAAAGAATAAACGCCGATTAACTAAACTAAATATAGTATAGATTAAGTATACTTTAAAGAATAAATACTTATCTTAATTAAGGATACTATAAATAAGGAGATACTATTAGCGATATAATTAAAGGAGGCTTACTAATAAGAAGGCTAGTCCCTCTTAAAGTTTAGCTTATACCTTAACTTCTTAGAGAGGTATTTCGAACGCTTATTAAAAAAGGTATATACTCTTATATTTTTCGCTAAGCTAGAGCTATAACTTTAAGACTAAATTAACGTTTATTTAATACCTATTTATACTTATTAATAGGAAGAGCTTATATAAGTCGCCTAACGATATTAAGATACTACTATTAATAAGAGGCAATATATTAATATTAGTTCTACTCTTAAAGGAACTAAGAATAAAAGTAGTACTATACCTTAAGGTAGTATATATAAGGGAAGGAATTTAAGAGGCCGATACGCTAGGCCGAATTATTAAGGAAATACTATTAATTCGACTAATAACTAGTAAGCTAGTAATATACCTACTAAGGGCTAAACTAATAGACGTTATTAAGAAAGAGGATCTTTTACTTAATTAGGAATTATATATTTCTAATATAATAAGCCGGGATACCTATCTATAAAATATATTAATATTTTAAAGGTAGAAACCTTAGTAAAGACTTTAAGATTTAATACTATAAACTAAGGAAAAGGTAAGATTTTAAAGTAAACGCCTCTCCCTTAGTAAACTTAATACTTATAGGATAGTAACTTAAAACTACTATAATAATATTAAGGCGAAACCTTACTAAAGTTCTTATATACTTAGATACTTATAGTACTATTAACCTTATAAATATATACTTTACTTAATAGTAAGGATTATTATAAGTAGCGCTATTATACCCTAAGTTATTAGGGCTTAGTAATAATAAGGTAAGGGAGTATAAAGTATAGTTAGTACCGCTTTAAATAATAAATATAAGAGGCACTAAAAAGATAATTACTTATTTCTATATTAATACTAATAAGTTAA